AGATCATGGTCGCTGCTCCGGAGTATCTTTGCACGGCGAGTGCTCTTTGGACTGTAATTATCATCTACGGTGAGCTCGGGACAAGTCTTGCCGTCGGGTGAATGCTGGTGAGAGAAACGCGAGTGTTTAAACCTCATCTTCGATATGGGATGGAAGTACGGATGTGAAGAACCTGAACATGGACTCGGACGGGCAGGGCAGCCTTATCTGATCTTCGCACTGCACTCCACGGACTTTAAAGTGGCTTAGACGCAGTGTATTGCAGTGCAATGGTGATCCCTTGCGCGCCGTACAATCTCGTGAACCAGTCCAAGTTCTGCTCCACAACCTGGAGACGTGGCGTCCGCATGGGATATACTCACCAAATACGCAGCAGCCTTCGCGTTCTGGCTTCTACTGCTCGCATGAATCCTCTACAGACCGGCAACGACACGTGTACGAGACCAGGAGAAGGAGGACGCTACAGCTCAGAAGAACGAGATGGCCATTCGGAGTTTCCGTCAGACTGCAAGATCCGTCGTCTTCGGGTCCCCATGGCCCAGCTGCAACTAAGCTTACTGAAGCCACTGTCTCGAGGTGTGACAGGAGAGATCTGGCTGGCGGTGCACTGTAACACGCAGGTGGCACTGAAATAATTGGTGCCGGAGAAGCGACGATTGTATGGCTACGTCTCGCACCTTAATACAGCTTAGTTTGAGGCAGGGAGCTCGAAAATGCAATACTTAGATTAATACATCGATGTGAGCTAAGCAAATTAATAATTCAATTATTTGCATTACTCCGCAAGTCACGATTGTAATTCAGAAACATTATCATCTCAAGCCTAGCTGGAGACATTCGCTTCCGCAGATCAGACAGCACCAGCTTAGCGAGAGAGAAGAAGCGCTCACACTCGTTAGACGTTGGCAAGATATACGCGACGTCGACTTAGTGCCCAATTGCGTTTCTTGAACGCCGCTATCACAGTAGAGCACGCTTCGGCGGCTCTTGAAGACGACTGTTCGAGATCAGGCGACCTAAATTCAGCGCAGGCTAATTATTCCGCGTCCCCACGCTGTAACTTGACAAGACCTTTCTCAAAATTGGGGTTGTTCACTTAGGGCCATGCCGAACCGGAGCCATGTCGTGCCATCTGTGCCACGACGGCATCTGATTGGTCTGCCAGATGAGCGGGCTAGGGGCAACCTGCCATCGATGGCACCGCGAAAGTGCCATGGCTTCGCGTAGTGCCATGCCATGCCACGCGCCACATTCGAATTTACAGCGATTTCGTGCGGGCTTGCACTTCCATTTTCGCGCCAAAAGATGGAGGAGGATTCGGGACTGGTTGCTGCTGTATTCTCGCTGCAATTAGTGGCGCTCTACTTAGTCAGCTGTGACGAGAGACGTCCCTGCTTGGAGCGACGTCGCTTGAACTGGAAGCATCACTCACAGTTGCTGCTGAATAAGGGTTAATTTCGACAATACTATCGAATGTCGTTCCGCTCGTTTGAGAAGCTTGTGTGGATGCTCGGTCCAAGTCTACGTGTTGATGAGGCCCAGTCGCGACGTCGAACAGGGACAGAGCCGTTGTCTTCTGTCAACAAGATTCAGATCTTTGTTTCTTGGTTGGCAGGCTATTCCTACCATCCAGTTCGAATGCTATCGGGGGCGAGCTCCTCCGGTTTCTATGATATCATTCACGCCGTCATGGACACTATCGAAGAGCACGACGAACTACAATTCCGATTCCCGATCACCGAACAAGAACAACGAAGATCAGCACAGCAGTTTTCGCTTCTGAGCAAGTCCGGCCTTGACAAAAGTCCTGTCATGACTGGGTGTGTTGGCGCTATAGTCGGATGGCTCTGTCAGATTCAAGTGCCTAGACGAAACGAAGTTAAGCGTGTGGCTTCCTTTTTCTCCGGTCACTACCAATGCTACGGCGTGAATGTTCAAGCCTGCGTAGATTATCGTAGCCGGTTCCTGGCCATCACAAGCGCATGTCCTGATGGAATGGGAGATGCAGTGGCTTACCAAAGGTGGCATTTATCAAGCGAAAGTAAATCACTTTAACGCAGCCTTATTTCGACTGCTTAACTTTATAGTTTTAACATTGCGCGTTTGCAATTGGGGGGAGAAATGTTCATTTCTGAACAAATCAATAGAACAAGGGCTAAATCTCAGCAGATCGTAGTACAAGACTACTCTCATGCTTACAACACCCCGTTCTGTAGTTAAGTCGTCTACAAAGGATTTATCTTTCCCAATATTTGAAATTACAAATCAGCCTACTCTCCACCGCCAGTACTTGACAGGCAGCGGAGTGCGTTGCAATTGTATGATGTTGGGTGTCCAGAAGACACCTATCGCTATTCGCGGCACATCGGGAAAGGTGATTATCGTCTATTCCAGCATGGATTCTGACTTAGAGGCGTTCAGCCATAATCCTACAGATGGTAGCTTGGCGGCACTAGCTTTTCAGCTAACCGCAGTTACCAATTATCTGAACCAACGGTCCTCTCGTACTGGGTTGGA